AATTTCCGACACTCAGTCTTTTCTACCTAATCACAATTAGTTAATACTATATCGGCAAGTATAGCCCATCCACCTTGGTAAATTTCGCTGCAATACGCATGAAACCGTAATCTTCGAAGATTACTAGAAGAGAGTATATTTCTCCTAATTCATTGAAGATCACCGTTGAAACGCGTTAGCACGCATATTAGATTACTCTTATACTGTACATTATATTCCCGAATTTTATTATTTGCACGTTTATTTTTACATCTAAGATAGCGGCTTGCCTTTCCGTCTCTTTCGTATTTATCTCATTACGATACAATACTCTGGGGTCCAAATATTACTTCATACATAGTTAATATTGTGTAACCTCCGCTTAATAAATATATTTTATGTATGATTTTAAATGACTCATATACGCAGGTTTACGTATTCTTTACGTAAAAATATATGTAAAAGTACGCACAACAATATTTTCCAATGCGATGTAAATATTTCATATTTTATTCAAAGATAGGAAGTAATGCGACCGGTTTTACTATAGAAATTGTAGACGGTTGTGGGGTCTGAAGTCATAGAAAATTAACCAATTATAGTCGATTATTCTACTCATATTCTGATCAATTTCCTACTACTTAAGACTCCAAGATCGTCTACGATTTTTATTGTAGATCTCGCATTATCGTTATTTTTTATAGCAACAATTTTGTATTTACTTTACAACTTCTTTTCCATGACGATAACGTTAAAGAAAGTTACTTTTGAAGAATAACTTGTTACCATTATGCGTTTCTGATTAAAAAATTAACTTATTACTTCACGCTTCACATAAAAGTAACGCATTATTTTCAGTCGTCACTTAACTCATTAGTAACGAGTTACTTTTCATACGATTTGTCCAACTCTGACGTCATTATTATCATCATGAACACTTGTAAAATCATTTTCAAATTGTTATTATAGGAAAAGTAAAGGTAACAGTAACGGCATTATAAGTAACGCTTTATTTCCTATTTCTGGTTTAAATTATAGGTCTTCTCTTGAGCCTTCCTACGAGTTAAGTACATATACTGTAAAACGTAATCTCTTTTATTCCATGGCATTAAAATATATTTTCTTTTCTTAAGTTACTTGTTAGCAAAAAAATAACTATATAAAATGATATATCACGAGAATATTTTGCCTAATTGTTCAATTTCCTAAAAATTCCATATGAATATTTACGCGATAAATGATTCCATTTTGATAATTAATTGAATTGAGTAGTCAAATTTTTACGAATAAAATCCTTAATCGATATATCTATCACAGATCGTTTAAGAAAAGATTTTTTTTTAATACATTCTGGATTCGTACAAATTACTTGTTAATGCAAATATTCAATCGAAAAACTTCAAAATTATTTACCTTTGTTATGTTATGTAAATTTAATATAAAAATGGATTCTAATTTAATAAATTACTTTTTGCTATAAACTACATTGAAAAATAATTTCTTTTAAGAATAACATATATTTATAAGAATTTTCATTTAATTAATTTAAATAACAAACTTACTCTTAATTAATAAACAACTGTTTACATTATTTAACAGAATATTTTTATTGCTATTTAGGAAATAGTTAGGGTAACTCCGGCAAATACGCCGCGCTGAGATTTACGCTGCAGAAGTTAGAAAAAATAGAAGGAGTCGGGGTAATTTTCCCGTAACTACTCTGTTACATGCCTTTGTGTTATATTAGTATCTTGTTATAATTTCAACTTCTTACTGTTAATATTAATGAATTTATTGTGAGTTGAATCGATTTGTCACTATAATAAGTAACGCTATCATAAATTATAATCTACATAAAATGATTACTGTAGCGCGTGTAAAAGACTTAATGTTATTTCGTGATACATACGTGTAGTGGAATAGTAAAGCATGTTGTGTAGCAAAATACAAGAGCTTTGCTTTCGTATTCTTTGTTTAGTTTGTTGTCTTGTATATCCCACCTGTTTGGGATATACGGCATTTTTAGCGAGTGGCATTTATTGCCCAAGGCATACAAAGTGCGCAGATTGAATTCAGTGCACTAAATGCAATAAACGCATTATATGAAATGTGTACCTCATGTCATAACATTTGTAATATATGTAGGAAGATCATAATTATTATTTATTACTTCATATACATATTTATTTTATTATTACATTCTTATTCCTTAATAAATATTTATAAACACATTTTATAAGTTATTATGTCATTATACGTCTTATTTATATGCATTATTTGTAAATTTTTCATGAGCCGTACATATCCCCTCCTCCCCCTATGAGTAGCTAAGTATTATCTAAAGAAGATGCATAGCAGCAGGGTTGGGGGTAAGTTAATTTTTTCTTTTAACTAAGTTAAGTTAAAGTTAACAACCTTGAAAATTTAACTTAGTTAAGATACAAGTTAATGTATAA